TTTAGAAGGAGAATGGTGCGGTCTTTTTTCAGAAGGTGAATGGTGCGGTCCTTTTTCAGAAGGAGAATGGTGCGGTCCTTTTTTAGAAGGAGAATGGTGCGGTCCTTCTTCAGAAGGTGAATGGTGCGGTCCATTTTTAGAAGGAAAATGGTGCAGTCTTATTTCAGAAGGTGAATGGTGCGGTCCTTTTTCAGGAGAGTGGTGTGGATCTTGGTGATGCTACTAATTGGCCTCAAGGTAGATTTCGCACATCTTTCGTCAAGAATTTGGTCAGTGCAGCTGAGTGACCCATTATCAGCTGAAGGGTTATCACTCGTGTTAACCACGGCTGTGATACTGAAGCACACGTCAGTATGGTCAGCACGGTCCTTTTTCAGGAGGAGAATGGTGTGACCCTTGGTGATACTGAGAAGTTGTCTAAGGTAGACACTGTACACCACTGACAATCGATACAAGTGTCTACTAAGGGTGCAAGCTTCGACGTCGGTATATATATATATATATATATATATATATATATATATATATATATATACATCAGTATCACCACGCCTATCAGATACTACATTCCTCGGACCGGATCGGTAGCGTATGTGTACGGATGTGTCTGCGTCAGCATCTTCATGGGTTTGTACTCTCTCTCTCTCTCCGAAGTTGTTCAGGGCCTCGGAAGCCTTGCACAGCGTCACCCCTCAGCATCCGTGTGATGTGTGCGAAATCAGAATTAAAGCCGCAAACAGTACTTATGGAGTGGCAGATGTATCTGAGTTACGTATGCATCCGCTGGGATGTAGTATGAATATAGGTGGATGATGCTTATGTGGAAACATCCATGCCTGGCTTTTATGTGATCCTCTTCCAAATCCAAGAATAAAGTCATTTGATAGTACTATATACTATAATGTATGTACACGATGATTATTTATAAACAAGTACTACGCCATTTGATAGTACTATATACTATAATGTTTGTACAAGATGGTTATTTGCAACCAAGTACAAAACTATTTGACAGTACTATATGCCATAATGTATGTACAAGATGACTATTTGCAACCAATTACAAAGCCATTTGACAGTACTATATGATATAATGTATGTACAAGATGACTAATTGCATCCAATTACAACGCCATTTGACAGTACTATTTGATATAATGTATGTACAAGATGGCTATTTGCAACCAATTATAAAGCCATTTGACAGTACTATATGCTATAATGTATGTACAAGTAGATATTCAAGTACGCACTTTTGTTATATTCCTAGCTCTGGATAGACACTACTTTGAGACAGTCGCTTATTACACGAACAACTTAGATACGTTTGTCGGTGTTCTGTTCACTCGACACTATACGCAAAAGTATACTTGTAAAACAGATCTAAGTATAAAACCTATATAAATATAAAACATATAACTACGAAATACATATTAAACTTCCTATACAATTATAAAACATATACAATTCTAACCCGTTTATAACTACCAAACACGTATTTAACTTTATTCTCAGATTTGCGCGTCTGCGTTATTCTCCAGCCACTCCATGATATACGCCGCCTTGAGATAGTTCACCGTGGTGTCGTAGTGTGTACCATCGTAGCTGTACGCTCCCCGAGTTAAGGCAAACGAGTCGAACACCTTCCATCCGTAGCCTCTGACCAGCCGGTTAATAGGTCCATTAAAGGCCGCCACGCGCTCGTCGTTTTGCGACTGCTTGAAATGCTTCTATTGGCGTTGCAAAGGAACATATGAGACTCGCTAGGGGATACCACACAAAAGCTGATTTGTACTTAAACGTTCGACACCCGTGAGAAGTCAATTCTAACCTCAGCCTGAGTGCTTATCCATATTTTCTCGCAGAACTAAACGTTTTCTTGCAGCTTGACTTGCACACCGCAAAAGTCTTTACAATCATGTATGACCTATTAACCATGGCTGTTTGCTTCCGTGAGTGCCGTCTAAAAATAGACTAGCATATAAATATATGTATACGTATACATATGTATATGTATATATATATATATATATATATATATATATAATTGTATGTATTTATAAATATATAAATATATAAATAAATAAATAAAAACTATATATATATGTATATATCCAACAATAGAATTGACCACATATTCGTTATTCCAACCAATAAAGAAAATGAATTTGGGGGATATATATGGCCTGAAAACCCCCCTCTCACTTTTTACGCAATAATGAAGTAAGTATAAATAATACATACATTGGCGTGTAACGGTAATTCTACGTACCAACTTTTTGCTCTGGTCCTGCGAATGCATCGACAGCCACACGATAGTCGCTTTCTTGCCTGCCCGTTCCCAAGCCTTATACATCGGCTCAATGTAGTCCCGTTTTACCTACACAGGGATAAATACCATACAAGTGTATTAGTGAATATGAATCATGGGCTCAATGTAGTTCCGTTTTACCTAAACAGCGATAAATACCATACAAGTGTATTAGTGAATATGAATCATGAGTTCAATGTAGTCCCGTTTTACCTACACAGCGATAAATACCATACAAGTGTATTAGTGAATATGAATTATGGGTTCAATGTAGTCCTGTTTTACCTACACAGGGATAAATAGCATACAAGTGTATTAGTGAATATGTATCATAGGTTCAATGTAGTCCGGTTTTACCTACACAGCGATAAATACCATTCCCGTGATGATTTAAGTGTTCCTGTGATTCATGAAGTGCATACATAGATGTACACACCACATTCTACCTACATAGTCTACCTACATGGTGGTGGTTCCGAACTGCACAATTGAACCACTTTTTACATTTGTACCGGTACACGATTGTCATTGCGGTGCTACACTAGCCTATAGACTGGCACTGAATTATCCCAGGTCACTATGAATAGCTGTATGTCCCGGTATCTTACCTTGAAGCTTCTTAGATTGGCATGCAGGGCTACACCAATCAGGATGAGCGCATTCTCGTCTCCGAAGAGTCCCTTCTTCTTGATCTTGTCCACCACAAACTCGCCGTGCTCCTGCATGAGATAACTCGCTTACTAAGTTATGCATGGCATGAATCCTGCATGAGAATCAAGAGCTTAAAGTGCTACATGACAAGCACACGTGAAATGCAAAATTATACATTCACGTACACTTTTGCACAGACACACACCTAGGTACACACATTTATTTATGTCCACGGATACACTTCTGTACACCCATACACGCCTGACTATACCAAACAATAACATACTATGTACGGACACACACCTATGTACACACGTACATTTATGTTCACGGATACACTTCTGTACACAAATACACGCCTAACTATGCCATACAATAACATAGTATGCACGGGCACACCTTTGTCTGTACACACACCATTACCAGCACGAGACGCCACGCCCAAAGTCCCGTACGCTTGCGAATAAACGCGTTCATACCGCTTTGGCCTTCTCACAGTACTCCAGGTACGGGATGTCTTCTGGCTGGCGTATCCCTGCACACGGGGGGTGTAGTAGTGCGTCTGTTGTCTTACCTACAAACGCTCTACATTCCATCTGCCAGTACTGTTGTAGCGTGGGGCATTTCTTTTGCTCTTGCGCCGTGGCTGTGTTGATGGTGGACCCGTGTCTGCAAAGCGTTTAACGGATTTGATCACGTGTTGTGTGCGTGAGCGTAGTACCTGTGTGTGTGTGCGTACTCGCGTATCTGACTTGCGAAGAGATTGGGATATCATACTCACGACACGAGAGCAACATGATGTGCCCTTCTATGTGCATGAAGCATGATGAATTTGTATTGATTTAAACGTTAGTAACAAGTACTACTGCAGTGTGGCACCCTTCTGTTACGGTCGCGTGGTGTCTGTGATGGTAGTCGATGCATGCCTGCACCGTGTGAGTCAATGTGTGTGTGAGTGTATTGTGATTGGCCAATATATATATATATATATATATATATATATATATATGTATATATACTATG